ATTCTTCCCTGTCGCGTGGATCTTTTCTCAACTTGTTCTCCAGATTCGTGAGCCGGCGGAGTGCTGAGTCGTAACTCCGTGGCAGTTTGGCGTCGTCGTTTCGCCAAGGCAGGCCCACTTCGTATCTGCCGTCCTTGTGCTTCACGGTGCGTTCGAACGTGGAGACGGCACGCTTGTCCTCTTCGCGGACGTGTGATGCGTCTAGCGACACTCCGAGTGAGTCGATCCGGAAGTGTCTCGACACGAGTTCTTCTAGTCGGTCGTCTGATGCTTCGGTCGTGACGACATGTAGGATATCCTCGGTGCGGCGAAGCGATCTCGATGGCGCCGTCCCGTGGATTACCCATCCGAGTTCGGTTTTGGAGGCAGCTGGTTCCTTGGTTTTTCCTGACCGTAGCTCGCGGGTCACTATGAGCTCCCAGTTGTCCGTCCCGATCAAAATGCGAGGCTTCGCATTCTTGTATACGACTTCTCGCTCGTTGAGATCTCTTAGGTGTCGTAGCTTCATCGCCTCCGCCGGTATCGATTGCGGCGTGAGGTCCAGGCCCACCATGGTGCGAGCGTTGATTTTGAAGGTCTGGTCACTACGCGTTCCTTTTATTTCAATCTTCACTCGACGGCTCTGCACGTGACTTTGCTTCTTGTTTATTCCTCGGACGTTGAGCTGTGCGGTCGGTCCGTCGGCGCCGATCTGTCGCGCCAGGTCGTCGTCTAATAAGGTGACCGTCGAGCCTTCGTCGAAGAGCGCGTAGGTGTCGCAGCTCCCACGTTTGCCCGTGATTGTCACGGGGCAAATCTTCAATTTGACGGCGCGGCTTGTCGTCGTGGCAGCCGTCGTCGTTTCGGTGGTGGCTGGTTCCGTTGCGGCCGCGTTTGAGTCGGTCGCGCTCGTAGCCACGTCGTTCGTCGTTCCACGCTCATCTGCGTGCAACAGTCGGTGATGCGGTCGCTTGCATCCGTTGATTCCGCAGAGCTTCTGTCGGCAGTTCAATCGACGGTGCCGGCCCACGATGCATTTGAAGCAAAGCCCCTCCTTCTTCACCAGCTCCCATCGGTCATCATACGTTAGCTGCTTGAATTTTGGGCAGCTAGGTAGTGTGTGGGCTTCCTGGCATGAAAGGCATCTGCGCTGCGGTGCTTCTTCGGTGGCGACGTACACCGTCTTCTTCTTAGCCTCCGGTCTGGGGGCGGGGCGAGGCGTTTCACGTGTTCGTTGCGATGTGGAGGGTGCGGTGAGGTTCGATACATAGTTGTATCGCATGCAGCGGTCAGCTTCTTTCATCAGGAACGATGAAAGTTTGAGTAGATCGGCGTTCGGGCCCGGCTGTGACTCGGCGAAGTTGCACCAACTCGATACAAGGTAACTTGGCATCTTGTCTAAGACTTCCCGGGTCAGCAGTGGGTTAAGCAGGTACTCTGGCTGCACGTTCCTCAGGACGGCCACGATGTTCTGTAGCTTTACCGCAAACATGTTAAGATCGTTCGCGGTAGGTCCAATCTTCGGCAGCTTCCGTAGATCGGCGAAAGCCATGTCCACTAGTCTTTCTGGCCTTCCGTAGCATTGCTCCAATGTTCGCATGATCTCGTCGGGGTGCGTCGCGGTGCTCAACAATGATGCGACGTTTTCCCGAGCTTCTCCACGTAGGCAGTTTCTTAGTCTTGCCATATTCTCTGTAGGTGTGAATTCGTACAGCCGCGTTGTTTCTCGCATCGCAGTCGCGAACTGTAGCCATTCCAGCGGTGAACCAGAGAATATCGGTAGATCCGATGCTTGACGCGGCGGCGGTCGTGACTTCACGAGGGTTTCGAGGACAGAGGCGAGTTGATCGATGCCTCTGCCTCGCGATGACGACCGTCTTCGTTCTTCCCTATCTGGGCGTCGCGTGTCGCGTTCAGGTGGCGGTTCAGCCACGGCGGTTCTCGAGAGCTCCCCCCGTTGTTGGTCGACGTTCGCGTCGTCGAGCCACTCGAACACTCGATCTTGCAATTTATTTGCCGGTTCTTCAGCTTCGGGTTCGCTCTCTGCTCCGTCTAGTGTTTCTAACTCGATATTGAGCGTCTTTTTTATGAGGTCCGCTTCAATTTCGAGTTCTCGGCGTCTTATGGCAGCCAGTCGTTCTTCTGCTTCGATGCGTAGCTTCCGGCGTGCCGCGTTGCTCGCTGCCGAGCGGGTCGAACGCGCGACGTGCAATCTCTTCGCCGGTTGCACCGATGACGTCATCGCAGATGTCGTTATTCCAGTAGTCGCCGCTGTGTCCGTTGGGTGTGCTGCGCGTTCGTCCGCTCCGCTCGGCGGCTGCGTAGTCACTGCCAAGGCGACGCGTGCTCCGGCAACGTCTGCCCCAGCGCGGTTCGCGTTAGGCGCTAGTTGCGAGACTTGCGGTGCGGTGCGTAGGCTCTCCCCGGCGTTACCCGTCTCGAGACGTCCTCGTACGGTCGGTGTACTTGAGGGCGATCTCGGCGGCTGGTCGAAGACACGACGTTGGTTTTCTTCGTCTTGGCTTCTTGTAAGCACCATCTTGAATTGCTGTTGCTGGATCTCGAAGGTTCTATACGTGTTTAGATCCGGCTTCTCGAAGGACCAAAACTGTTGAGGGTGGTGATCCGGCTCTATGGACCAAACTGTAGACGATGTTGTATAACCGTGGATGATGGTGAAAACAAAGACGAATTTCTTCTATAGACGTTTTATTTTTCTTCTTACTGGCTACTTATTACTGCTTGACTATACTGCTTGACTGACTTGACTTGACTACAAATATTTACAAATTTGGCCCTACCCTTATTCTAAACTTAACATCTAACTTAGATACTAGTGACGCGCGGCGGCCGACCAATCACAGCGCGTTTTACGCCCGCGCGCCGGGTGGGGGAATCGCCCCCACCGTGCGGACGGCGCCTACGCAGCCAATGGGCTCCCCGATAATTCCGCTAATGTAGGCGCTGTGATTGGTCGTTCGATCTGTACATTTTTCGGCACGTGGCTGTCTTCAACAGATAATGTAAGCCCAATTTATCTACATATGAACCTAACTAGATTAAGATATATCAACGCATAGGCAACTACTGTATCTATAAACCTGAAATTTGATACAGGGGTTTCATGATATAAGCGACCACTAAGAAAGGATTTTTAGAAATTCGACCCCTATAGGGAGTGAAATTTATATGGACCATGCGGGCGAAACCGCTGGTGGAAAGCTAGTTTCTAATATATTCTTCTTTTTATAGTTTTTCTCGCAATTATTGTTTTTCTTATTAAGAATCTTCCACTGAATGAACAACTTCGCCTAAGTCATTTTGAAAAAAAAATAATATTTTATTACATGTGTTATATATGAAATTTACCGCTTAGCAAAATATAACGCGATTTGTTTTGATTAATATGGATTCTTAGTAATTTTTATCCTCTTAAGCTTCGTTAATTTTACTCGCAGTTTATAAATATAGGAACAGTGTGAGTAATTGGTTTGTCGCTATTGCCATTCACATCACAAGCGCAGTGTCAGTTGAGCAGGCGACGCTGCGTCGGCGTCGTAACGTTTTCCTCTAGTTATCGTATGTATGCAACCACAAGTTGTCGACTCGGGAAATACCCCCACCTCATTCACGAACAGGCTATTAATATTTTATGTATCTGTGCCAATATCAATAACTATTATGTAATAAAACTTCGGAGTACAGATTCAAAGAACAAGCTTGAGTTATTTCATGTTAATGGGATAGATTTAACAGCAAGTAAAAAAAAACATGGCGTATTTATATAGACCTACCAAAACATTCTTTTATCAAACATCTGATTTATCACAATAAGGGTTTTTTTAAACTACTTCAAATTAACACAAATAAGGGGTTAATCTCGAAATGTGAAATAATAAGCTGAGCTATTATTGTTAAGAGTATTTTGAATTTCTTGAATAAGAAGTATGCACTAAATTATAAAGTACTAGCTGTTATCCCGCGTATAGTGTCGAAAGAATTTTTGAAATTGGTCCACTCGTTTCGGAACCCATTCAATGAAAAATAAACGAAAAGTCTTATCGCTTTACAATATTAGTATAGGTGTAGAATTATTTTTAGATAATGGTTTTCTACATTGAACTGTGAGAAACATCTATTCTCCTTGGCCTAGGGTCCAATCTTAATCACCCGTGTGATAACCTATGAACCTTTTCCGCGTAGCTACAGGGGTTTAAATAGCCATTTGTTATTTAGTCAAACAATAGTCTAATAATATGTTTAGTGTTTTGTGAATAAACAGTTCCCATTATCTTATATCTGGCGACGGTTTTACTAGTGGTTATAATTTATGTCTTACACATAATAAAAACGAATATATCCGCGTCGCGTAAGCTTAACTAAAATTAACTGCCGAACATATTTAGTGTACTTTCTTTAAACTGATTGAGAAATTCATGGGAAAGTTTTAAACGCTTTTTGGGTAGATTATAAATAATAAGTATCAGATAACATCAAGTGCATTGCTCAGATTCAAAGACGAGTAGTTAAAGGCTCTATGGAGTATCAGCGATAACAAAGACACCACAACACCCAGAATCGAGATAATATAAAGTTCAATGTCTATATGTCTCAGTTTTCGATACAAGAACATTAAATAATTTATTTGGAAGCTGTAGTTACTGTTTTTTACGATTAATGGAGAGGAAGAAGAGTGAATGGATGATTATATTTTGCCTTTGATTGGTTAGTGCTCCGACATAACTTATCGCATTAAGTAGCCATGTTAAATGATAGCAAACTAGTCTCCATTGCACACCGGCTAGTGTGAGGGTCATCTAACCATATGCCACGCTGTTTATATTAGAACTCATTTCTGATTTTGAGGGAAAATATTGAATAATAGAGTACAATTGATACACAAGCCCTTTCAGATCAGACATGTCTAATTCATAAAGAAAGTGCTGAAAATTTTGTATTTCATAAAGAAAGTGTATGTAGTGATTGAAGTTGTGGATCACAGGGGTATCGTGTTGTTACAGTGGTAAAGCAACGGCTACAGATGTTGAACTCTCAATATCGCGGTGTGTGGGAGTGCGCGCGGCACGTGTACCGGACAGAGGGACTGCGGGCTTTCTATCGCTCGTACGCTACACAGGTCGCCATGAACGTTCCCTTCCAGGTAACGCATTACATTCATTTAATTGAACTTCAGGGCCGGATCTATAGGGGAGGGGGAGGGGGGACACTTGCACTGGACGCGTGTCAGGGGAGCGCCAAAATTATGATTTAACCGTTAATATAATACGGTCAAAAAGAAAGAATAGCGAGGGGAGGGGGTGCCCCTTGGCAAACATCGTAGATCCGGACCTGCGAAAATATTTATACAATTCATTTAATTAAATTACTATAAACACCCTGTGTTATACACTAGGCCAGGGGATGGCAATCTGCGACTTTCTATGTAAAGTTGCTGCTCTCCAGTTCCATTTACAAGTAATAATTATGTAACTGTCGCAATTGTTTTAATCATGTAATTGATCCAAACATATGCCTTCATTTGCTATTAAACATTGTAATAAGTTCGTATATAAAAATGTAAAATGGTCAAATAGACCTATACATGATTTAGGGCAGGCGACTCGGGTGTGGTTTTATATGAACAGCTTGTCTATTTACCATGTATGTTCACCCAACCTGATTGTATATTGTGTGTGGTCAGGCGTTGCACCTAGTCACGTATGAGTGGTGTCAGTCGCGGCTAAACTCGGCCCGCACGTACGATCCGCGCGCGCACGCACTCAGCGGCGCGTGCGCCGGCGCACTCGCCGCCGCCGCCACAACGCCGCTAGACGTCTGCAAAACAGTGCTCAACACACAGGTAATGTATACCGTCGCAGAAGTAGGACTACGATCAAATAACTTTAGATTTTTCCTTGCTAGTTACCGGGGTCCACCTTACGAGAGAAGGTACTGGAGGTAGACTCGTGCTTTGATTAGCCTCCACTTTATCCCTGGGATGGGAGTCTCCGAGTACCAGGGACATACTGGCTTTTTTTAGCTTTTTCATTAAGAATATTTTCCAGTATAGTATTGTGAATGAAAGATTGATCAAATATAATAAAGCTGTAATATATATTTTTTAATTCTTTCCTACAGTTAAGAACGTTTCTTTAAGAAGTTAAGTTTTTAATATTTAGTGTCAAAATAATACTGAATTAACTAAAATAGTTATGTTTACGTGTATACAGGAGTCTACAGCGCGCGCGGATGGTCTCATAGAAGCGGCGACGCAAGTGTGGCGCGTCACCGGCCCGCTCGGGTTCTTCAAGGGTGTGCAGGCCCGAGTGTTGTACCAAATGCCCGCTGCTGCCATCTGCTGGCTCACATACGAGACCATCAAGCATGCACTCGCTAAGGTATCTGACTCATTTACCCCTGACTTGTCTGTGTAATAAACGGTCCTGGACAAGATGCCTGTCCGCCATCTGCTGACTCACTTACGAGACCATCAAACACGCGCTCGCTGAGGTACCCGCCTCATCCAAACCCCACTTGTCTACATAATCAGCAGTCACGAACAAGATCTCTATCCGCCATCTATTGGCTCATATACAAAATCATTGAATACGCGTCCTTTTAGGAATCCACCTCACTCATACCTAGCTTGTCCATTATATATTAGCTGTGTACCATACAATTACCGTCACTGGCTCCAGCTTCAATAGATACCACCTCAGTTACTCCTAGCTTGTCTATCTAGACATTAGTCTTGCAGGCTAATGCTGGTAATGTTAACGTAATAAAGCTCATTTCAATTGAATCTCAATGACTTGCATTTTACCATTGTACTATCTACCTAAAGTTCAATATTATTAGTGCAATGTCTTTCTTACACATCCATTAAGATGGAACAGATAATATAATAATATTAAACTTCAGATAGATCATATAAAAGCAGAATACAAGTAATTGAGATTCTATCGAGAAGCGATTATTACGTATACATTAGCAGAATTGACCTGCTGCACCATCTGGTGCCCATCTCTATCACCAGCTTCAATAAGTTACCCACCTCATTCACATCCAGCATGTCTATCATCATCTACTGGCCTACACGCGAAAATATCGACCATACTTAGGCACATTCAGTTTATCCAACTGTAGTGTAACATAGTACTGCAACGGATTGGGTTTATATCAAGCACTTCCTTAAATTGCACAAACAGAACAATTAGGACAAAATACTTACCAACATTTATAGAATCTTATTCGTGGGCTCCTGTGCTCGATGAGATAAATCACATTACTAGTGTAAGACACATTTTTCTTTTCAATTGATGTATTTAAAATCACTATGTCAACTCCAATAGTTTTACAAGAATGACAACTCGGAACTTTTCCTTCTTTTTTTAATTCATGGCCTATTTGCGTTTACACAATTCTACCAATGTCACGTTTGTGGTCTTTACACGTAAACAAGCAATAATAAAAATATGACAATTTCGAATTTTGGGGTAATAGATAAAACAATAAAAAACGCTCTGAGCGGTTCTATCCGATGACATTGTTAAAGATAGTACGAATAGAATTTTTATACAAAACAAAGATATTTATAAATTAAAACAATTATTGATTGCTAGGAATTAAGATAAAATTTTGTATAGGCTGAGTTTCTCAATACTCAAGATACATTTTATATTTGTTGGACGAGGAACTTTTAATGGGAACAAACCATAAAGGGAAATTGATAAATTAGGACAATTAGACAACCTGGAACTGTAACGGAGTGAATTTTTGGTTGGAACTTTTAGATTTTGATGTTTTCAATGTCCTTTGCTATACGAATTTAGTCTTCAGTCAATACTTTAAAATTCATTTTGGTTAAGCAGTTACTTGTTATTAAAATAAGTACGGTTCTATGCGTTTCTATATGCCAGTATTTTTTGTAGGCGATGGGAATATATATTATAATTAGTGCATGCTTTAAATCATTTTACCTGGAAATCATTCTGAAGTCACATGGTTATAATCTTTTTGTCAATATTTCTATTGGCATTAGCATTATACAAATGATTTATGACTGTTAAAATTACAATTTAAAAGTTTACATAATGCTTTTGCCTAAATCCTTTTTATGTTTCGTGTTGTTGTGTTGTTCTTACAGGTATGATACTGATCCTAGTAAGAACAAGACAAAATAAAAAAAAAAGGTTTGTTATTTTTATTATATTTTGCACATAGCAATTAATGTAAACCACTTTAAGATAAGAAGAAACACAATAATATTCATTGTATTGAATTCTTTATTTTATTGAAATTTTAAAAGTTGAAATTTTTGAATTATCATCTCTGCAGTGCTAATTTGTTAAAATACAACGTCGAACACGGAATTAGATGTTTATTGAAATTAAACCTACGTCAAAATGGAATCAAGGTTTTATTTGCTCGATTATTTAATGCTGCGACAGCACTGTGTTCGACGTTGAATTAAAAAAACGGTGTTTCCCAAGATAAAATTCCGATATTTTAGTGACATTGTAATTTCTTAAAAGAACATGTTACAGCAAATTTCTGTCGACAAAATGCAGCACTACATCTAGTAAACAGTTTTTTTATGAACGTCAAACGTCATTCACAGAGTAGTGAGCGTTATAGTAATTTAAAACTTTAAATTTATAATTAAAAAGAATATAATTTGCATATTTGAGACGTAAGAACAAAAGGAATCAATCATTAATTTCGATAAGAAAAATATTGTTTGTTTACTACGTGTGCTAATGCTGCCATCTATTATCGAATATAGTTAAATGAAAATATCTTTATTCAAGTAAGCTTGTTACAAGCACTTTTGAATCGTCCTAAATTTTTTTACATAAAGTAAGTAATGACATTTGCATAAATCATTACCAAAATAATATGTATTATTTCAATAATAAATACAACTTTCAGTCTGTAGGTCATAGGTTGTAGGTACATTCAGTCCAGTCCAGTACAGTCGTTATAGAACAAAGCGAGGGCTATTAATTCCATGCATTGCGATCCTTAAAATAATCATCAACTTTATAATAACCTTTACTCATAAGTATGTTCTTTACATGAATTTTAAATTTATGTATGGGTAGGTCAATTACATTTGTGGAACTTTATTGAACATAGCAATGCATTTACCCAGAAATGATTCTCTGGTTTTCTGAAGTCTGAAGCTTGGAACGGCAAGTTTATTTTCACTTCTTGGGTTAAGATTTTAAACACTACTTTTTTGTGAAGGAATCGTAAGGTTTTCTTGCGTATCGTATTGATTATAGATAGCAGGGATGCTATCGATAATCAATACGAAAACAATTAAAAGAAATTTAACTTTCAATTAAGAAAAGTGTTCTAAATAACACATGCATGCACGAAACATGGATAAAACTACAATCAGGTTATATCTTCTTTCACAATGGTTAACTTTCACATAGAAATGACGGGAGGAGATACAAATACATAAACGCCTAGAACATTACATAAAGGCCATAAAATCAATATCTATAAGGTTATTGCACATTATTATACATGTATTAAAAAAACATTCGCTTAAGATAATAGTTGCATACTCACCAACTGGTAAGGAAAAAGATGGACGAAAATAGAAAGCTTTTATGAAGATATTAAAAAATCGATGACATCGAACAAAGCAACATATACTGTAATTGGTGAGAGATTTTAACGCCAAACTTGGTAATAAGCAGGATCCGCCAGATTTATATTTGTGGGCTCCTATGGATACGGTAATAGAAACCCTCGTGGAAAAATATTAATTAATTTCCATTTTCTTTCCTTAATTTAAAGGAAAGAAAGTGGACTTAGCTTTCACAGGGGGGTCGGACCAAAAAGAGATACATTGCATCTTCTGTACTTATGAATTCGTTATTCGAGACTTGCAATGTTGAATAAATTCTACACGGCGAGCGATCATCGGCTCATAAGAGCTAAAATCACGTTTAATTTGAAAGAAAGTAAAACTAAACTAGTAAAAAATAAAAGCAACCAACTGGATCGTTAAGCTAAGTATAAATGCTACAGATTATAAAGCCTTACTCTGAGAGAAGCTTAGGAACATTAATTTGACTGGCCGATCTTAGTAATGACCTTAATGATGTCGTCTTAGAAACGGCGAAAAGAAAGATAACAGAAAGAGAGAAAAAGTTACTTGAGACACCCTAATCCTACCCCAGAAAAAAAGAGATTTGATAACAATTGGCAAGATAAACACCAAAGAGTTCAAGGCGCTTTGTAAAAACACTTGAGAGTATGTGCAGAGAGACATTGAGACAAACTACAAAATGGTCAAATCTATAATAGAGAAACATCCTGAACCCAAAGTATTTTGTAAAACACTACAACCAGGCAACCAACAGATTACCAAAATAAAGGAAACCAATGGTATCTTGGCTTTTAGCAAAAATCTTAAAAGTGGTCGAGGAATATCAAACATTATACTGCGCTAAGACAAAAAGACCTGGCAATGCTAACCGCTCCAAAATAATGGATATTGGGTCAGAAACAATACCAGGGATTAAGTAATAAACGGCAAGGTTGGACTCAAAGATGGAATACTTTCGGAAATGCTCAAGGAAGGAGGCGAGCCTCTAATTTCAAGGCTAGCACATATTTTTAATACTGACATGGTACGAGATGAAATCCCGAAGAATTTCAAGAAAGTGCGGTGGTCATCTTACTGTACAAAAGATGACCACCTCCTCTTTTGTATCTGATCTGATCTTAACAACAACTGGCCCCTCAATTTGCTTTCAAAAACTAACAAACTTTTCCTAAAGGAACCACAACCGCCTTGCTAGGAAACTGGACTTTTATCAGCCAAAAGAGCAAGTTGGATTTAGATTCGACCATAATTTTATAGCTAAGGTTGCTTATAGAATAAAGTACGGAGTACCAAATCCTTTGCCTGTCCCATGGACGAAACAAAACTACTACTACTGCCTCTATGGTGAGTTTTCGTTAACTACTCTAAGACTTTTGACAATGCAGAGATGTAGCATTGTTTCAGAAGCACTACGTAATGCTAGAGTTGACTATCGACATACGAAAATCAAAGAGAATACATATAAAAATGCGACCTATGATGATCCAAAGGGGAGTCAGACAGGGAGACACTCCCAAACTGTTTACTCTGGTTTTAGAAGTTTACAAGGAATTTGACTGGGATGATAAAGGCCTTTATCATCTCGATTATCTAATCTCCGATTTGCGGATGATATAGTGCTATTCACCAATGACCCAAGAACTACAGGTTATGGTACAGAAATTACTTGAGGCATTATTAGATATAGGACTAGAAATGTATCTCATTAAGACAAAAGTCATGACCACAGATAGCTCAAAAGAGGAAAAAGTGGAGAGGATTGAAGGAGTCTACACTAAACTGATCGTGGAAGGCTTAAGATGATGATGATGTGTTCTAATTGTTCTATAAACTATATCAACGTTGCACTGTGAATGCAAAATGAACGAATCACAGCGAATGAATGTGAATATAGTTCATTTTTTGTTACAGATTGAACCGAGTGAAGACAACGGGCCAAGTGTCGCGGCCTCCACCCCGTCGCCGCTCGCTGCTCTTCGCCTCGCCGCTGCTGAGCCACACGTAACACACGTGGCATCTGCACCCACGCTCACGCGCTCATAAGTGTCACCAGTGACCGAACCGACCCATTACTATCATTCCAGGGCAGGCCCGGATCTACGATTTTTATTAACCGGGGCAGAAACTTCGTATGGCGCCCTTCTTCTAACCCTCCTTACGCTCGATTTTTATATTACTATATTTTTGCAGTGCAAGAGTTTTTTCATTTATTATAATGTGATGTATGGATGTGATAAATGAATGAGTGTCGAGAGATTTGAGAAGCTCGTTTTTTTAATTAGGTATTAAATAATGATGATGTTGGCGACCTCGGATATTGGCGCCCGGGGCAAGTGCCTCCACTTTCCCCCTCCCCCTCCCTAGGTCCGGGCCTGTTCCAGGGCTACCGTTTTGTTAATATTAGTTTTTGTATTATAAAGCGCCACGAATTATATTTTAAAGAACAAGTTATGTTTTGAAAGTGAGCGATATATCATATATTTACCCGTATTGTATGTATTTTAATTTTTAGATTACTTATTTACTATGTTTCGCTGTTTTTGTTATTTAATTTTACTTTTATGAATGGGCTTACGGTCGTTTTTATCGCTGGATGTCGCCATAGCGGAATTACTGACGAGAGTGAAAAGTTTAGTGATGGTATAAAATGGTAGCCTTGATTCCCGTTAGTGACCTATTTCGGCAGACTATCAATATGAAATATTATCGATTCATCGATTTGTAAATAATATCTCCCTGGGAAAATTTATTTTTGTTGCACTTTATGGTCGGTTCGGGTCGGTGGGACGGGGCGAGGCATGATTTTTTTTCATTACCGGCGTTACTCGTGTGTTTATTTATATGTTCGAATGATATAGTGGCAGGGCACCCTCGCCTCGGCCCTGGCTGTGATGGTGAAAGACATTCGCGTGTCTTTATCTGTATTATAATAATAATAGATATATGGGAGTCTGTACATAGTCGCAGTGGCGAGCCACTATAAATTTCTCGAGGTGATCTAGAAGTGGTCGTCTCTTTGTCTCCCTCACATCCCCCTTGCCTTTCCCACTTGCGTCGAACGCAATGTTGGGGGGAGAACGGGCTCACGCGTTGTATATATAATTATTTGATATTATTCGTGCACAAGTTTAGATTGGTTATAAAAAATTGAATGTCAATTTTAAAATTGGTAATCTATAATAGCTCTCGGTCGCGTCGAATTTGAGATTATGTAGTGAGACGAGACTAAGCGTTGCCCCCCGCGCGGTGTCGTGGTACGGAGACGTGGTCGCGTGGTACGGGGGCGGCTCGCTGGGCGAGCACAGTGAGATGCTGTTTCGACTCTAGTGAGATTAGACTAGTGTGACACGTGACGTCGACTGTACACCATGTACGCTGATCCAACGTCTGTTGAATATTGACGCTGTGGAAACGTTTATTGATGATTATGATAAATTTATATTTTTAATAAAAGTCCCGTGTGAGTCCTCTCTGAGGTCAGTTCTCGCCGCGATCACCGTACATGCCGTATGACGTGCATTTTGTTGTTGTTTTTGTTTGTAAATGTGTAGTCGCGTTGTGACGTTCGCCAATCAGCTCGCCGCCTACAGTCATACAGTAACCAATAGGGATGACAAAAAAAAAGTAATTCTATTTAGTCCGTCAGTCAGAGATTACAATACTAGATTCGTATTTGTTTTGCTTCAATTTAGACAAGAAAGTTTTTTAGATGATAGGCATCAAAGTTGAGGAGTGGGGACTCGCTTCATCCCAGTTTTGTAGAAAATGTACAAAAGCGTGACGTCATGCGACGTTTCAACTCAATTTATGGCCGTAATTTATTGATTACGCAAATAATACGTGTTTAATATTAATAATCTACCTGACGGACAAACAAAACAAAATTAGTTATCCCTATTTCTTCAGACGTATATTGATTTGATTGAACGTCGTATTACCGCCTGGATTTATTCATTAACATATTTACCGCTTCGATGTAAATACTAACCGACCCCGTCTAGTGTGTAAGCTCGTGACTGAAAGCGGTGACGGCGAGCGGCCAAGCGTGACCAGTAAATACGTTATGTTTGTGTACATTATTATGTAATAAACTGTATTTGTTATATTTATGAGTATTATTGTAAAGTCAAAAGAGAAATTTGAAGTTAAGAGTTTGTTCCAATATTTGTATATTAGTGTCGCGACGAGGAACTCGTTGCGGACGTGGAAATCGAAAAAAATGTGCAAATTAAAAAAATATTAATGAAATAAACAGTTGGACAATATGACGTGGTTTTATTTGATTGATGCTGTTATGTATATACATTGGCCGATAGTCTTGTCGAAATCGGGAAATCGTCACTTTATTGAGGAAACATTGTACCTAGTAAAATTTATTTTCATTATCGTTAGGGTTGGTGCTTTAACGGAAAATGTAAATAGTACTCATTTGTAGATAACTGAAGGCAGACAGGGTCCATGTTTATCCGACTAAAGATGCAATAATTCTCGTTGATCGCGGAACGTCAGACCCCGCGCGTAATGACATTACGCGTCAGACGCGTAATGTGTATAGCAAAAACTATTTTTGTGAAGATTTTTTTAAATTGTTTTATAATTTTACTGCCCTCGCCACAGAAAACACTTCAACGAAAGACTTAAGAATTGCCTCGTGAGCGTGGCGTAGCGTAGCAAAACTCCTGGACAAATGTACAGGTTCATGACTTCACGATCGCGATGTGTAGTCATTCACGACCGCGCGCGTTGTAAGTACTGTAAAACACGCCACTAACCGTGAAATGCACAAACATCCATTAAGGTTTAATGACGCCTTTAAGAACTAATGAATGTCATATTTGTATGGGTAATGTCACTTTAAACTAATGTAAATTTTAATGAACGTTTGTGCAACTGGCAGTAAAAGAGTTAAAAACGCGGGCTTGCCCGGTTATTAATTGCAAATCAAGAATCCAATCTTCAAGTAGGTCAATAGGAGGGATTTCTTTTCATTAGTCAGTAGAATACTTTTGATACGTATGTTTTGTCGAAATTCGTGAAATGTTATCTAAAGTGTGAATCACAAAAAATATTTCCAAGAAAATATACCCTGCAGGAGAAGTACGCATTATTTATTACATAGCGTCGTACTAAGAAAATAGTAGCTCGGTGGCGTTGTGGATAAGCGCCGCGGCCCGCGATCGTAGTAGTTAAGCAACTTTCGCAAGGGTCGGTCACGGGGTGGGTGACCAAAAATTATTGTCCCGAGCTACTCCGTGCTTCGGAAGGCACGTTAAGCCGTTGGTCCCGGCTGCATTTGCAGTCGTTAATATCCTCCAATCCGCATTGGGCCAGCGTGGAGGGTCATGGCCCATCCTCCTTAACCATCCATAAGGAAGGCCTGAGCTCCTGCAGTGGGGACGTAAAAGGGCTGGTGATGAAGAAAATAATGTTAATAAGATATCGAAATCGCCGTTAACAAACAAACCAACAAACATATACGCAAATAAATATTTTGGCACGATTATTACCGATTCAATGTTAGTTCATTATTAGGAAGTGATTTAAATATTTCTTTAAACTATGAAAATTTTTATGCTTATTGATAAGAGAAAAAAAAACATGTTTTTTTTAAATATGTATTAAGATTTTAATAAAAATACAATTCAATGTATATCCAAAACTATATAAAGAAATTACTCCCGTATACTTTCAATTAATGTCCTGTCTTGTTTTTCAATATCGATAGCAAATCTTTACGTCAATCACTAGTATAATATGTCAAATTAAAATGGCTTTACACGTTTCTTACGCACTCCACTTACGATGTCTGTTACGGTTGAACGTGATTGGTTATAGTTGAGGGGTATAGAAGCAAAAGCGCTTCAGTCCAAAAATGTTGTTTTTTACACTGAGCACACCAAATTGTAGCGATAAAAAAATGTAAAAATATATTATAATCGGCACTATGCAAATCCACCTCAATCTTACATAAATTTCACTTAGAAAGTAGCGTTTAGATGCAAAACCGTTTCGATCCAAAATTTGTTAGGAGCAAATCCGCCTCGATCACAATCAACCAACCAGAAGCAGCCATTTCAAAATTTCTAAGATGGCGAATTAGTTACTTTTCATAGTAAGTTGACTGAGCATAGCGCGTGTTTAATTTGTGTTTTTTATTAAATAACTTATTGTAATGGAAGAAAACATTACACCAGCACGTGCAGGACGAGCACGGAAACGTCTGGTAAATAAAAGTCAGTGGCGAAGAGTGAAGGAAAAAGCAGAAAGGTAACAAACAATTTACTAATATTTTGGCCGTTATGAAAAGGTAAAGTAGGGTTTGCATAGAATGCTTCTTCTAAATTTTATTTCAATTTTCTTTAAGTGAATTGTAAAAGCACATAACGTACTAACATTTTATTCGCGCTATACTGAACAGTTTTTTTCTGCTTTTGGTAATGGGTTTTATTTTAATTTGCTTAAGGTACTCTGCTAAAGATCTCCCACAACTACCTGCATGTCAGCACAACAAAAAAAATATTTACGACTGCAAAAATATAAGTTCCACTTCCAAAAAATAATGTGGCATTAAAAGCAGAGAAAAAAAAATGATGTGAGGAAATTGTTAGAGAAACACTATGGACCGCAGTGGGAAAATCCTAATGAACTCCAATATTACAATAATATTTTGAATAATAATAACAGTCATTCAATTCAAGAGGATGAGCCTATCTGCGATCCACCCACAGCGGATTCAAATATTATGATTTAATTCTTAGTTTCTTTTTACTTTTTTTACATGCGCAAGAATAATATTTTATCTTTACTTTTCATTAATAATTATAATACAATATGAAGTCCTGTTTTTAACAAAATTAATTAAATTCATAATCTTGTAAAACATTGTTTTATTTTGCAATCGGTACCGCCATTTATTGACATTTGACGAATTAAATAGTGACATGCAAATTCGCTTCGATCCAAAGCAATGAAAAGCAAACATGCTTTAGTCCAACGCTTAAATGCAAAAACACCTCAGTCCTACATTATTTCTTAAATTATAAAGAATTTATGTATATTTTATTTGTTTTGATTATTGTTATTTGATTAATGTATTCTATTGAATGTACCAACATCGAATTCTGATAAAAAATTCAATTTATTACGATACAGTGGAAATTTGCGGTTTTTTAGTCTAGGTATTTTTGTGACTGAAGCGCCTTTGCTTTTATACCCCTCAGTTATATTGAAGCGTTATGTCTGATTGGCATGTTTAAAATGCAAGTGTGTGCATATCTTTTGTATAATTGCTCTAATGTTGCATCTGATGTATAGCAGACAAAAAGTGGGACAAGGAGAACACAGGAAAGAGGTTACAAAGGATGCATGATCCTTTCTAACCTTCTTTTTTTCTGTGTTCTGTGGCCCCCACGTCCCCCTACATCCGGTCCAATCTCGTACCAACGGATACTTCCGTAAGACGCTTAACGGATTTTCAGTCAGATTGCACCGACCATTACTGATAATAAGAAACTAATCCACCACATGGGGTGGTCGGCTCATATTAATAACTAGCTGGTGCCCGCGACTTCGCGTGGAATTTAAATCATGCTAAAGCATAAGGAGGACTTCAATTTAGTTTGTTAGCTTTGATTGTTGGCTGTGGACTGATAATATTACTATAATGCAGAAAAACATAATATAGACGAGAGACATGTATTAATACACAAAATCAAACTTGAAATATTTATTGAGTGTATACATTTTTGTTAAAATATCTTATGCATATAGTAAAAGATTATAAAAATATGTTTTCTATATTGCTCAACAGTAAATATATATAAAATACAACAGTAAAAGTATTATGATTATATTTATGTACTTTTAATGGCATTATTTATGTACTTTTACATGACATTTTATTAAGCATATTTTATTGAGTTACATATTGCTGATTTTCTGTAAATTCAATAAGATTGTAAGAATCACAAATTAAGCAAAGAAATGCGCATATATTAAAATATCACGAAAAATCAACGCTACTTTTTAACATGGCATGGTTTAACTATAGTAGGTAGGTTTAACCAATGTAAAATATTTTTTTTAATACTTGTACTTATGATCATATCAACACATTTAGCATTCCCAACTCTATAAACATTTTGTTGCCATCCAAATGTCACTTTTTTCAGTACTACATTTGAGTTATTATCATGCCAGACGTTATGCTACGCGTGCGGGAGATAACATCACTTTGTTACTTTGTATACAATCCTTATTTCTTTCTAGATATAAATCATTTCACGAATGAGTTTCCTTGACATATCTCTTATTGCTTTAATAAAAACGGAAACATTGTGATTCGAGACTTTATGAAACGAACTTTACGAGATCTAGTGTATAGAGTAGCGGGCCCGTTGGAAGTGTCTGATGTGTATTGTGTCAGATATATGTCAGTGTCATGTGTCTGGTATATGTTAACTTTGTCAAGTCTACATTAGTGTGACTGTGTCAGGTATGTGCCAGTGTCTATGTGATGTGTGTCGGATATTTATGGATGTGTCTAGTATGTGTGAACTATGTCCAGTTTACATGAGAGTGTCAATGTTGCAGATTTGTCTGGTATATATTAGCTTGTATCAATATATCTCAGTATATACACACTCAGTATATACATATACACACTTAAATGCTCAGTAATCCGTGTACTGCAGCGAGCGCTAGTATTGGTGCGCCGGTTGGAGGCAGTGGATATTCACCGGCACTGGCTGCTATATCCAGATGAGTGTAGGCAGGAGCATCGGCTTTATGCAACTGAGCTGCCTGTTTGTACAATTTTTTGATGATTAATATAATCGATATTATATTTGATAAATTTTGCATTCATAATGTTAAATTGCTTAAAAAATTTACTATGTCCCTGGCACTCCAAGATGGGACTCGAACCCATGAATTTATAATTATTATTGAGTAAAATACGCTCTGTAGTAGCGAAAAAGTAACAAGTGCTTGAAAAATTCGTAAGCCCAGTTAGGTTCTGGATAGCTCGGTGGTTAGAGCAGTCGCCGGGATTGCGAAAGGTCATGGGTTCGAGTCCCATAGTAGTACCGGGAACAAAGAGGATTTTTAAGCGTTTTTCAATAAGAATAATGTGATCGTCACTAATATAAATATTTTATTTAATAAATGCATTCATAAGAGGTGAAAGACTTCTGATCGGATCAGTATTTTCGAAGATTACCTGCTACAAACAAATAACATAAGGAAATACCTTTTTTATAATATTAGTATAAGGCCGGATCCACCTTAAGGGGCATCTTTACTTCTCTAATTGTGTACAACACAATTAGAGAAGTAAAGATGCCGTCACACTTCTATGGTCTACTGTGATCAATGGCCACGTGAAACAATACACTGTAGAAAACTTTCATCACTGCGTCATATATTTTGGAAAACATCCCCTTAGCATGGATGGATTATTTTGACAGGAGTTCATACTCCGAGTCGCATTAAACCTGTATTTGTTGTAAATCGAATAATATGCAGAGTCATACCACTCGGCATATTATTCGATGAAGTAATATTCCTATTGGAGTTCTCTTTATGTAATATATATAACAAGGAAAAAAGCAGCCCTCGCCCTTCCCGTCGTAGATTTACGAACCAATGGCAGCTTTCGACATTCACCAGTGTTTGTAACATCCAAGATTAAATAAACTATATCAGGCCCGGATCTACGAGGGCAGAAACTTCGGACGGCACCGTTTATGCTCCGTGAAGCCGGTTTTTATATTATCATATTTCTGCAGTGTATGTTTCTCTTTTATTTAATTTAGGTATTTTGACGCATATGGTCTGGGTAACCTGGGCTTTCCTTGCCAGATACCAGGTCCCAGAGGGTAATACGAGGGGTTTTGCACGGTAGGCCTGCTGTAGATAGGGGTTATTTAACCTCCGCAGCAGGAGAGCCCGGGTTCAGTCGACCTCTCATCAAGGTCGATGGCATGTTACAAAAAAAAAAAAGGTATTTTGACGCATATCTATCCCATAGAGGCCTATGTGTATGAAGAGCTTTGTAAAGCTCATTCTCTTTTTGACTGAGTATAGGTAATAAATAATCATGATTTTGGCGCCCCTCTGAAACTGGCACCCGGGGCAAGTGCCCCCGTTTGCCACCCCACCCTCCCCTGGATCCGGGCCTTAATTATATTGAATTTGAGTTTGAAAATTTGGCTACCGCAACCATTTTTGATGTCTGTATTCGCCCGTGAAGGGAGAGATTTACCTGTAGTAGGAATGCGGCAGGAGCCTGATGCCCACGAGCCATAGCGGAGGAGGGTCGTGGTGTCGCCTGCAGTAATTGTGCGTTGTATGACGCCTGATGAACGGACAGATCCTCGCGACGGATGCGAGACACCTGGTTACAGTGGATTTTTAGAACGTCACGTTTTCTTATTTCCGTCAACAGATGGCACCAACGTGCCGAAAATATTTCTCAGGTCACAAATTCGAACCCACATCACAGCATCGGTTTGTAGTCCTTCAGTGCTATTAATTAACAAAGATGTTACAAGTAAATTTACGCCGAGACTGTACTTAGTATTAGTCAAAAATTCATATTATTAAACTGTGTCTTGGCAAGGGTTAATCTAGTACGAGGTTCTACGGGAGTAATATTTTCTCCTAGAAGGTTGTAGGTTTGCTTATTCTCTCTATAATATGAATTTAGACTAAATGTACTTAAACTGTAATTTTAGCGTATATTTACTCTAACGCTAAACCTTGTTCATTAATAGCACTGCTTGCGTTTTATTTTTAACTCTAGCTCGCGCACACACACACACACTCACACACACACACACACACACACGCACACACACGCACGCACACACACACACACACACACACACACACACACACACACACACACACACACACACACACGCACGCGCACACACACACACACACACGCACACACACATAACGTGTCGTGCTGTCGACTATTAGACGTATTACTTACTTCAATCATATCGCCGATATTCTGTCCGGTGAAATGAAAATATCTTGAATAAAGATATTTTCATTTCATTTCATTTCAACGCTAAACCTTGTTCATTAATAGCACTGCTTGCGTTTTATTTTTAACTCTAGCTCGCGCACACACACACACACACTCACACACACACACACACACACACACACACGCACGCGCACACACACACACACACACGCACACACACATAACGTGTCGTGCTGTCGACTATTAGACGTATTACTTACTTCAATCATATCGCCGATATTCTGTCCGGTGCATCGCAGTAAGTCGGCGTGTTGTTTCAAATCTGCTGTATGATTATCGACGGCGGCCGTGTACCCCTCGCCGTATGCGCGTTCCGCGTGACCAGTCAACGTTGCCACAGTATACAAATGTGGATCGCGCTCTGTACGCGACCTTTCATGCATCTGTCATACCAGTTATACGTACACTATGATTAAAAGGGAAGATATGCTACACCTCCACAATTCAAATAATCTACATCGCAGTAAGAATCGTTCTGCGAATTGTTTTCATAATTTTGTTAAAATCATATTCGTCAGGATTATCTGTGCATATGAGCAGTGTTAGATTCTACCTCCGTTGCATCGAAAGATGCGTTTGTTTCGAGTCGTATTATCATAGACGAAATTTCATTTTCGTAGAAATAGAACAGGCCTTTCAATTCTTACGACGTTTAACTGTGATGGGGTCAAAAGCAAATCAATGGCATCATTCCAATCTTTGCTGCGTTGTAGATTTGCGATAATTATTTTGTTTTATTAATATTGTACAGTATTTGAGATGAGTATTCGAACCAGATCATATAGAAAAACTTTACTTAGTTTATATATAGCTCTGAATGATATATGTAAGCGATAGGTAATTTATGGATAAATAAATAAATAAAAAAAATAATGAACTAACCTCGCATAGTAGATCGGCCATCACCATACGTCCCTCAGCGTCAGTGTTGCCAACTCTCACAACTTGTCCGCAGCGTGCCATCACTAGTTCATCGGACACGTACGCCTCCTCCCCGATAGAATTACGGGCGAAACCCAACGCCGCCACCACTTTCACAGATGGACGGAGTAAATCGCACGCCTGATATTCACAATACATTATTCGCTCATCTTATAAACATAAGACTACCGATCCAATAAGGTTTAATGACGTCTTTAAGCTCTAATGAATGTCAAATTTGTATGGGTAATGTCTGAAAAATTTAATGGAATGTTTGTGCAACTGGCTGTACATCTCAGAAATATAAACACATAACAGAGTCAGATGAAAATAAAAGATAAAAAAAAGATGGTAAAAAAATGTAATTTTGACTATATCTTTCATCAACCTCTGGGTACAGTAAGAATATCTTAATTAGCATCATGTATATAGATTTTTTTATCTTTATCTTCGACCTTAGCTAAAAAAAGAAAAGAACATGAATATGATTGACAGTAACAAATGTCCAAATTACTAAAATTTTTCCGATACTTATAGAAAAATAATTTGCTACTTTTTTATTTATTCATTTTACTATGTACTATTAAACAATGCATAAACAATGATGTCATAAAAAATTAATAGAAGTATGAGCATATAGAGTAAGGTTACCATAAGAAAGCCGGCAACGTTGGCAGCTCCGCATTTGTCGCGGGACATCCCCATCATCGCACCTCCAACTTTCACGTCACAACCGCCAGTGTCGTAAGTAACACCCTGCACAAACATATCTAATATTATCTTACTTCATATAATAACAAACCAGTGAATTCATTCCTTAAACACAATACACTGTCATAACATTATCTCAAGTTAATACTGATACAAACAAAGCGTCACTGTTAATAAAGTGTCCGATGGTTTCTGATTTTAACATACCACATAATAATATGAAAAATGAGAAAATAAAATACCGTTACCTTTCCAACTAACATCAATGTTTTCTCATATTTTTCAGGCACATACTCCAGGAAAACGATGCATCCTGTTTACAAATGAAAATTATATTATATAATATAAGGTATTAATTATTGATTATGTAAATGTGTTTCTTTCTTAAATGATGTTTTAAACTTTCATGGTCATTAACATCCTAATGATTGCTAAAAACGGGGTTTTGAGTTTCCGATTTTTCAGCAAGGAATCATTCTGATGTTTCTTTCTTGCGCTTTCTTTCATAAATTTTCATTATTCATCTGACCTGATACTGATATTTTAAAACTAGACTATTTTATATTATAATCCCAGTATGCATTCATTTAATTTACATTGTGATTGTCATTTTCTTTAAGATGAGCGCCAATGAAATAAAAAAAAAAGTTATTTATTTATTTACCAACATCTTATACATTCCTAATACCTACATATAGGTATAAAGTATGTAGCAGTCAGATGCGAAACAGACTTTGAACAAAAATAAACAAGATCTTTTGTTTCATTTAAATATAAATAAATAAAAGAAAGCGCCGCAGCCCGCAATCATTGTTATGAAATTCGCATGGGGTCGGTCACGGGCCACGGGATGGGTGAATAAAAAAAAAATATATGGAGCGACACCGTGCTTCGGAAGACACTTTCAGCCGTTGGTCCCGGCTGTATTTGCAGTCGCTAATAGGTACTCTCCAATCAACATTGGATCAGCGTGGAGAGTCATGGCCCATCCTTCATAATAGGGAAGGCCTGAACCTCTGAGGCGAAGACATAAAAGGGTAATAATGAAAAAACTGGCGCTACTATCTGTATTGAGTATTAAATTTATTATTGAGTATTATTTGACCTGCGTGTCGTGGTACAGAGTCAGCCGCACGAGTGACAGCTGCGAACAGTGGGTACTCTTTGCGTATGGTCTCCTTGTCCCGCAGTACGCGTATACTAACGCTCGTGCCGCGGAAACGATCCTCTAGATATTTAGCCGCCGCTAAAGGGGGCATTCGCTCTGGATCCGCGCCCCCGACATCCCGTGCTATGTACCTGTGTCAGACATACACAAGCTCGTACTAGATAGATACGGATGTCACTCAAACGAGATGGACACGGACGATTTGTTCTAGTTGGCACATACTGTGACACCGACTCAAGTGGTGTTCGATAATGTTATACTAACTCTAATAAAGGTTATATTATTTATTTATAACCAGTGGTCGGAATTAGGTAGAGTTATTCATGTACTTACACTGATTTTATACAGCGAAAGAATAAAGTGGATATGCCCCAAATCCCGAGATTAATTTTAAAGAGCAGAAAAAATCCCGTGATCCCGTGATTTATCTTTGTTTTATTTGTCTATCTCTGACGTTGTTATTATTATTTAGTTGTAAGATTGTTGGCCACACGGGATTGTCCATTAGAAATCCCCGGAAGGTCCACATTAATATCAACATTTCGATGCAAGTACATAAATAACTCTACCTAATTCCGACCTCTGTTTCTAACAAATATGTTTCAAAATATGATGAATAAGACACACAAAAAAATAAACTTTTTAGAATAGAATAATGTTACCATAGCTCAGAGTAGCTTAGTGGCGTCGTGGATAAGCGCCGCGACCCGCGATCGTTGTCGTTAAACAACTTTCGCAAGAGTCGGTCACGGAATGGGTGACCAAAAAAAAATATTATCTCGAGCTACTCCGTGCTTCGGAAGGCACGTTAAGCTGTTGGTCCTGGCTGCATTTGAAGTCGTTAATACCCTCCAATCTGGATAGGGCCAGCGTGAAGTAGGACGGCGATAATTATATTACATTCTTTGTTGTTTGTAGTGAATTTTTCGAGCTTATTGAATCATTAAAGATGATTATTTTTGCCAATCATTTTGTTATTTTAGTTATCGGATATTAGGAATACTTAGACAAAAAAACAATGCGTACACAAACTAGGTTATTTCTAAACATAATACTTTATACAAACAAGAACGAAGAACTAAAAAGAACATTGAAAACCTTGCTGTCTCCAATGCAACGGCTTCAGTAATGAGCGATGGGATTGGAATATTCACTCCCTCTGCGTACACGCCTAGCGCCGTCGGACGCGTGCATAGCGCCGGGAATGATTCCCGAGATTGCAGCGGCTGAAACGTTCCAACGGCTGATTACCTTATAAAATTTTACTGGTACAGGCTGTAATATCAAAATGACTTTCACACCCTTATTTTTACAACTATACATCAAAACATCTAATATGGCTTACCGAAGTACCTGCGCATAAAGGACAGTGCATATCTGACTCAAGATGAGACCTTAAGGCTAAAGTCCGCAAATGTCAACGATACGCGCATCTGGCCTCATGGAGTATATGGTAATAATATTTTACAATTGTAATTAAGCACACGTTCGATGCCTTTCGTGCGAACACGCACGAAAATACACGAATGGTTTCAAGCTTACAGCTTTTTTTAATGTATGCACGTTGCATATCATTCTGTTTCTGTGATATAGTAAGCATTCTAAATATGACCAAACAAGAGGCGAAAATTGAAATAAACAAACAATTCATAACGCGTTGTTTTTTAAGGAAACAAGGCATCTTTAGTGTCATACGGTTGTTATGGTCACCTTCATAACCAATAACATTGATATATAACTATAAACGTTAGAAAACATCACATACTTTGCTCAGATCCCAATTGACCTTTGGCATTTGGCAATCAATATAATTTAAGCACTAAATGACGTGAATTCGGACACTTGAGTGAATTTTATATTATCTATAGTCCACGAACGAATATTCGGTAAATTTCAAATCGTTCTCACAATTTAGTAAAATCATATCGTGAAGATTATCTGTGCATCAGAGGCAGTGTCAGGTCCTACCTCCGTTATAATCCTTTTCTTTTCAATCGTATCATCTTTTCCAAAAAAGACGTTAAAAGGTATTCTACTCTGTTTCAAATAGTATTTGTAAGTTCAAATATTTATGTAATCCAAATGCATTTTTTTGCTTTAAAAACAAAATTTAAACTTACGGGTTAAAATACCCGCGAAAACGCATTCCGACATATTCATGACGTCTTATGGATATAATATACAAAGCAAATTGAAAAAATAGCAGATTAAAAAATGTCAATAATACAACAGTGCCATCTAACGGTCGATTAAGAAATAAAAAGATATAAATAAGTTAAGAACAGCGCCATCTATGAATTTAATTTATAATACATATATAGGCGTTGGTTACGACTAATCTGACAGCTGTCGCCAGTGACGCGTCACAATAGCGGGTCGCGTTTCAAGTCACGTGATACACACAAAAAATGACGACTTTTAATTTTATCATAATAAGATAATGATGTGATTTTATGACTCAAAATAAAAATCACTATGTTTATTAAGATTTAAATTTTAGTTTTTGTGTAATTGCATGACTTATTTTTCACTAGTGAAACTACCCTATTTCGGGAATATAGAATAGGCCTTCAACTGTCACGTTAATTCGTACGTATTCCTACTACTAATATGACGACTCACCACATACGCGGCCTCTAACGCTCCAAGCAATGCTACGAAGGGTGCGCGTGGCCAACGCGGGTGCGGCTGCAATACCAATACCGGCCTGCGGGCGCCCGCACATAAAGCACGTTTCACACCTGCCCGAGCTGCCTCACCTACACTCCTATATTACACGGAGAACTTGTGACTAAAATGTGCAAGTTTTTGTAACGTTAATACTGTAGTACATAGAGGTACTAAGAGTATCATACACTACTCATTGTCATTAGTGAAATAATAACTGCGGTGATTGGAGTTAATTTTGCTAAGCTTAAAAATGCAATTATAAAGTCATGCATCACTTGTTAAAAATTTTGCGAATTGATTATGAAAACTCAATTGGCTTTTGTGTCTAAACACTATGAGTTTTAAATTATCGACAATCATTCTTTAACAAATATCTGTCAATTAAAATTTTATAACTTGTAAATTGACAATGTGTTTGTTATCTATCTAATACATATCTAATACAATATGAGAGTTCACGTAAAAACAAACGTGCGATGAAAGTACCAGCGTTTGAACTTTACAAACTATAAGTCATTTTCATCATGTCATTAAATAGAAGAGTTCAGCAGCCTGAATTGGAACTGCAATTAAGGCAATACCAAACACAGAAATCATATGAATAGATTTTTTGATGAGTTTGATAGATAATAAAAGATTCAAATTTAGAACCTCTGGCACGATAACATGTTACAGTTGCGCAAAAGCCACGATGACAGATATGAACAAAAACGTAACAACTGATTTATACGCAATGCGTGTTTTGTGTTACTATATTTTTCTTTTCTTTAAAACCACATTAATTATTTAATAGCTATTATGTACAGATGGCCGCAAGTCAGTTTAACAGAGTATGTCAAATTTCTACTATTGATTTTGACGTCTACCATTAATGTAATGAGGTTTAAAATCAAGTGGGCGAAATTAGTTTTGTATAGTCAGACATGCTGTCGACTGTACTTGCAACCACGAAAGTTTGTGGCGCAAGAATAAAATAGAATATGGGCAGGGTATATTTTGCGAGATAGATAGATAGATAGTTCCACTGATTGGAACAATGTTTTATTACCATATTATCAATAGGCTATCGCAATAACACTACTGTTACAAGCCAATTTGATTATTCACTGAAAGAGGCTCAACTAGGGGATTGTTTAAACGCATACCTGACATCATCATAGGGTGTGAGCGGCCCAGTAGGAGTTAGTACCAGGCGACTGCCACACACTCGTGGACACTGCACAACTGCGCTGTTCTGAAAAAGAAGAGCTCCCTTTATATAGGTTCGGCTTTCGGTTAGCTTTATATAGGGCGCTCATATATGGGGAACAGCGTGTCATGGCAAACAGATCATGTTTCCTTCTTAAAAATGCAGTATCTTAAAAACTTCTTCTTTGAACATGATTTTAATAAGGAGTTAATTCATTAGTTTAAATACAATATCATTAAGCACGACGGAGCAGTGTGATGTCATATTTTAATAAATCGAACTTAAACGTCTTTGTTGGGGGGCGCAAACATTCCTCATGTTTATTGAAATGTGACGTCACGCCTCGAAATGTCAAGCGACGATTGTTGTCATGGAACAATTTAAATTTATTAATAAAAATATATAGTGGCTCTATATACTTTTTCCAAAACAAACAAGAAACCAATTATCTCTGGTTCAGCAATATCGCGAGGGATGCTTAGGTGCTTATTGTAATATCTATAAAATTGGGTTTAAGAAATGAGTGATAAATGTAAGATTTTCGAAGAAATTTTGTCAAGAGGTCACTAACAAAGTAACACTATACAAGACAACTATACAACGTGTCCCAAAATTCAACGATAAGCGGGCGCCAAGAGGTACCCTTGCTCATGTGTACTTATGGAAAAATAAGAAAAAAATTATATCTATCCTATTAATATTATAAAGGCGAAAGTTTGTAAGTATGGATGTATGGATGTTTGTTACTCTTTCACGAAAAAACTACTGGACGGATTTGGATAAAACTTTACAGCAATATAGGTTATACATCAGAATAACACATAGGGTACTTTTTACTGGGAAAACTTCTCACTCCCACGGGATACCGACTTCCACGCGGACGAAGTCGCGGGCGTCCACTAGTTTTATTATAAAATTAAATTCGAAAATCTTCGGAAATTTACACCTTTTATGATATTTTCAACTACCACGGCCACAACTTCTCAATTATGTTCAATCTTTTTTTGGTATCGGATACCTAAGTAGCACTACTATTCGCTACAACTCTTTCGAAAATTTTCGAATTTTATTTTATAATAAAAAAGATTAATAAGATATAATTTTTTTCTTATTTTTCCATAAGTACACATGAGCAGGTCTACCTCTTGGCGCCCGCTTATCGTTGAATTTTGGGACAGGTTGTATAAGAAACACAAATTTTTCAGGCGCCAGATCTACCTGGAAAACTAAGCCGGGGAGTTTAGAATTTTAATCGCAAGGGGACTTTTAAATAATGAACAACAACTTTACTTTCGGTTTGCTATTTACTCTAGAAAATTGTAATTAATTTTTAAATTTATGTTTATTATAATTTTTTGACTATTAATAAAAAGGTTTACATCACAAACTGAGTCACTCCTTAGTGGATTGTAATTACATAGCTGCATCGTGCTAAGCTGGCGGGCCCAAGATTGTGGTGTATCAAGTGAGTGTAGCGTGGCTCATGCGAAAAGATTTTGATACAGGACATTAAAATTGTAGTACATAAAAACAAAAAAAAAACGCCAGCAGCATTTAAAACCAAAAAAAAACCTAATATGACTTGGGGCAAGGTGGTAGGTTTACATTTCCACAATATAAAATATTGGGTATTTTTACTAAAGTACCATAGATATAACTTGAAAACTGACATTATAGTTTCTTTTTTTTTTATAACAGAACTCTAAATTAACCATAGAATGAGGCCAATTCAACAGAGTTGTATGAAAAATCTATGTGAAGTAAGTTTTAAGTTACACTATCTGGTATGGCAGAATGCATTGACTGTCTACATCATGGCATTTGGATAATCTAATAATACTATTTATATTTTTAACTATTAATATACATTGAAGTCTGTGGACTACTTGGGGACTGCTTATCCCTTATATATACTTAGGGCCGGTTTCACCGGTTGCTGATAAAGTCCCTGATAGTCTATCAGGAACTTATCTGCCAGATAAACTATAACTTTTGGTTTCACAGGTCTCGGATAAAAATATCTGGCAGATAAAGTGCTAGATATGTTATCAGCCGATTCAAGTGGCTGATATAGACGTTATCTGATAGATAAAAAAAAGTTTCAAGTAGCGGGAACGAAAATAGTTTTAGTTTTAGACCATTATTGTGTGATTTGCGTCGATTGCAGTCACGAGTGTCACAAATATTCTAAAATGGATTTATTTGAGTTTTAAGAAGACGAATTAGATGAATATTTCGAACATATTACGCGACCCCGTAGAAATCGAGTAATTAACCCTAGACCTAATTATTTAGAATCACTCGACGATCAAGATTTTTAGGAATCGATTTCGGCTTACCAAACGAGCTGTTGTTTATATTTTATCGTTAATAGAAAGTGATATAAAAACTACAACGGGCTACTAAGTAAAAAATAAAGAAGCTCCGTTTCTTCTTGATTAAAATTCACACTTCTTTCACGTTTTTGTTTTTCCATTATTAATTAACAAATACGAAAAGAATACACAAAAATAAGTTTAAAAAATGAAAAGCGTCTTCTTCTTCTTTTTTTTTAATTAATGGCTTATCTGCGCATTTCGCACAATTCTGCCAATGTCAAATAAATAAATTAATTTTACATGAAATATGAAAATGAAATGAATGAAAGATTTTAAGCACAAAATATCAACAAAGCAAAACATATGACAGTTGCGTTTCGTTTCTGTAAACACGTAGCTAAGTATACGAATATCGTATTATTTTCATTCTAGAATCATAAAATTATAATTCAAAATATGTGAAAAAAGTTTACTTAAATAATATTGAACATAAAAAAAATACATTAATTAAGTTTTAAAAATGATTTTTGATTGACGATAATTTGGGTCGTAGTATTGAAACGCAAATAAGCGACGTTGCCGTTCCGTCAACTAATAAGTGGCCGATAACTTATCTGCCAGATAAATTATCTAGCAGTTTAATGGTGAAACAGAAAAAAGTTAACAGCAACCTTTATCCGGTAGATAGCGTTAACTATCAGATAACTATCTAAAACTTTATCAGTAACCGGTGAAACTGGCCCTTAATGTCATATTATTATGTATTAGACATAATAATATTACATTAAGGGCCGGTTTCACCGGTTGCTGATAAAGTCCCTGATAGTCTATCAGGAACTTATCTGCCAGATAAACTACAAATTTTGGTTTCACAGGTCTCGGATAAAAATATCTGGCAGATAAAGTATTAGATATGTTATCAGCCGTTTCAAGTGGCTGATAAAGACGTTATCTGATAGATAAAAAAAAAGTTTCAATTGACGGGAACGAAAATAGTTTTAGTTTTAGACCATTATTGTGTGCTTTGCGTCGATTGAAGTCACAAGTGTCACAAATATTCTAAAATGAATTTATTTGAGTTTTTAGAAGACGAATTAGATGAATATTTCGAACGTATTACGCGACCCCGTAGGAATCGAGTAATTAACCCTAGACCTAATTATTGAGAATCACTTGACGACCAAGCGGGCTGTTATTTATATTCTATCGTTAATAGAAAGTGATATAAAAACTACAACGGGCTATTTAGTAAAAAATCTCTGTTAACTAGTAAGTAAAGAAGCTCCGTTTGTTTCTTCTTGATTAAAATTCACACTTGTTTCACGTTTTTGTTTTTCCAGTATTAATTAACAAATAAGAAAATAATACACAAAGAAAAGTTTAAAAACTGAAAAGCGTCTTAAGCACAAAATATCAACAAAGCAAAACAAATGATAGTTGCGTTTCGTTTCTGTAAACACGTAGTTAAGTATACGAATATCGTATTATTTCATTCTAGAATCATAAAATTATAATTCAAAATATGTAAAGTATAAGTATAAAAAGTTTACTTAAATAATATTGAACACAAAAAATAATATTAATTAAGTTTTAAAAATGATTTTTGATTGACGATAATTTGGGTCGTAGTATTGAAACGCAAAAAAGCGACGTTGCCGTTCCGTCAACTAATAAGTGGCCGATAACTTATCTGCCAGATAAATTATCTAGCAGTTTGATGGTGAAACAGAAAAAAGTTAACAGCAACCTTTATCCAGTAGATAGCGTTAACTATCAGATAACTATCTGAAACTTTATCAGTAACCGGTGAAACTGGCCCTAAGGCTACCTAAGAATTTTTACTGATAATAATAGCATGTTACTAAATTAGATAGATACTATTTAAATATTAAAAGTTTCTATATTATACTAATACTGAACTCTGAAAACAGTGCGCCTAACATGTAACTAGTACATATTTAGTAGCAAAGTGATTATCAATGATGATTTTCATTCAAGATATGTTATCTTGGCCTTGAGAGAACTGTATGATAAATATCTAAACTGCTTTTTTTTATTTTTTGCATAATCATTACATGACATTGACATATGAATTAAAATGTCTGTGATGAAGCAAGCTCCTGCTCCTCAACTTTAATGCCTGTTATCTAAGCTATCTCTTGTAAAATTGAAGTAAGTTCTAGTAAAAAAAAAAAAATATATTTATATTTCTATATTATCTGACTGATGTACAAAATATATTTTTTTTACCCACCATCCCATCATCCTTATTTGAATTATTTATTAAAACTATTTTAAAGTAATTAATGGCCTTGCACTATTTAAATAATGTGGTATTATATTCTTTGTATATGTGTTTCATTAACCACATTAAAGTGTGGTAAGTTTAAAAACATATTTAAAAAGAACATTTACACAATGAACAAATAAAAAAGTTGCTGTTGCCATTTGCTCCAGATAAGACATAATTACCATTAACATATTTACCTGATCAATGCCAGCATCAGTCTCTCTTAAAGCAACCACAAAGTCTTCAATGGCCTGCGGTAAAGCAACTCCTGGTGATAGCACAACAATAAGTGCATCCCACCCCTTTGCATTTACTTCTCCTACCTCAGCCACTTCCACTCCCTCTACGGACCATGGGCCTATCGTCCCTAAATCTTTACCGTCACCCATCTTCATAAACCTATGTAGTGAAACATACAATTTCTTTTTCATCATGAACACAAGTAAGTCTTAAATATTGAATTAGTTTCAAAATTGTTAAGAGTTTGATTTAGTTGTTAGCTTTATACAAAATTACTATTGATTTCTCAACTCTTTATGCTGTGAAATGTTTTAATTGAATGTTGATTTGGTTATTTCACATTGCACCTAGTTTTCATTGTACTCAAACAAAATTAGATTAAGATTTAACAATGCATTGTTCTATAGCAAGTCATAAAAAGCTGAGTCAGACAAGGCCACTGATTGAAGTTTGATCAATTTTATTAACTTATTATTATTAAATTTCATTGGATCTTAAAACCTTAAACACTGATTATAAAAAACTTACTTACATTTATAAGTTAATTAATATAGTTGTTATAAGTTTATGTTTGACATCACCTTTGAGTTGTAATTTATTTTACAAAAATTGAAAACTTTGTAATTTGCATTTGTAAACTAGATAGGCTCTTTGAATATTTTGGTAAGTAAACGTTAAAAAATAATGAATAAAATATAAATTGTTAGATTTATAGTTATATGTAGAAGATGAATTGTACAGTTAATATAATTATAATTAGATGCAATTATGACTTGACAATTTTACACTATATAAAGGCTATATGTAATTGCTACATCCTTACAGGGTGTCACATAAATTATAAATATATGAGAGTAACATCCATATCGCTGGTTCTCTAAAATAACGGCATATTTTGGGATCATACAAATTTGAGTTCCATATGTAAGGAGAATGACTGTAAGCTATATTGCCTTGTCAATAAAACTCATATTCCTACAGCTACAATGGGCGTAGTTACGTTACTAATGTCGTTCTGTGATTGGTCGAAACATGACGCCATTTTGGCAAGAAGATCGTCCGATCACCATAAAGTTACAGACTTTCGGAGCAGAAGCATCGCTTTTCTCTTTAAAAAAGGCTCATAACAACATAATCCATCGCTAGTCAGTGAAGTTTATGTAAAATATAGTAGTGTTTGGTGTTGTGCCCGTATTTTCGAGAAGTAAGTAATGATCATTTAATTATTGTTATGTGATTTAATGACCTAGTCCTAAATGTGACGATATGTTTAATAATTTACGAGTTCTTAGTAGGAATATATATGAATGTGTCATTATTTAAGATATGATTTAAAATAGTTCATTAGTTTTGATTACAAAATGTGTCAATATTTTACGAAAATGTAGTTAAAAACTAAAACATACGTCGTTGTTTCCGATAATATTTTTAAATCTTTGCTCTGATAATTCTTTGATATACCTACGACACTTTTTACACCACTGCCCAAAAATGAGTGTATTGTGTTTAGGGTTCATGGCTGTATGTATGTATGTTTCTTTATTCCACCATAATACGATATATCTTCTAATAGGCAAAACCGATTTAAACCGAGTGGTCCACCCTGGGCAACGTCTCCACGTCTGTGAAGACGGCTAAAGATCCCAACTCGCGGTAGTAGGGCCTGCAAAGGTCCACCTGGGTCGCGACTACCCTTTCAACGGAATCTGACGCCATAACAGTATCATACTGTGTTTCGCTAGTGCGTGAAAGTTTTAGTGCCTTCGGGAAAATTCCGGATGAGGCCGCTACATCCTCGACCTCGTCATTACTTTCCTAGATGGGTCATGCATGACTGGAATCAGGACCTCATAAATCTGTAAAAAAAAGACGACACATTACGCAGGGCTGAACTTGCTTCTATTGATTATTTTTATTTTATGTTTCAGAAATGAATCCCAGAACAAAAAAAAAATTTTGAAACATTAAACATAGAAAACGACAAAACTAAAAAAAAACAGTTAAAATCTTCTTTTAAAAGTAAAGAAGATAAAGAAAATATAACTAATTCAGAAAACGAGTTTTCATCTGACGACAGTGGTATAGACCCCAATTACAACCAGGATACTAAAAATATTTCTGCCTCTGATTCTGACGAATACGAAACTATTTCCAATAAACGTAAATTTGCTAAAAATGATTTACAGTCGAAGAGATCAAAATACGAAAATGATGTTCAACTTGCCCGAAAAACGTCTTACCAACAAAAAAAAGTATCACCTATGATCATCTATGATATACCATCCAATGAAAAAACCATTCCCTTTTTAAGGAATCGTCCTCTGAGTAATTCTTCTTCGAGTGGATCTTCGTCGAGTGGTTCTTCGTCGAGTGGTACCTCGTCCAGTGTTTCTACATCGAGTGGTTCTTCACGCAGTTGGTCGCCTAATACCAGGCCTTTGGCAGACAATCAAACCACTGATACTCAGATTTCTGACAAACCTTTGGTGCCCTCATTATCGTATTTGTGCCGAAAAATAGTATCTGCAAGCAAGACCTCTTCAGGCTCTAAAACCAAAACTAACTCATATAAGTTGATTGATGAAACTAGTCTCGCACAGTCTCTTAACGTATGTGTAGTTGCTGAAAGTTAATATTGTTCATACATTTGTTTTGTTCCATTCATAAAGAAAATATAACTATGTTTAGTTTTAAGTTGATAGATGAAACTAGTCTCGCACAGTCTCTTAACGTATGCGTAATTGCTAATTATCTAAGTAAACATTTTTAATTTATTTTGTTTTGCTTAGCATTCCATGCATCAAGAAAAGATTACTTTGTTTAGTTCTAAGTTTTTTTTTTCATGTTAAAGATATGTTTATTCAGGTAAAATAGCATTAAACTACTTACAAAACAAAACTTAAATAATAATTATGTAGACAACTAAACCTAAATTAAAATTCCTAAAATTAAAATAGCTACCTAAAATAAAACCTGCCTAAAATTTAAATACCTACCTAAAATACCTACAAAAAGAAATAAAAACAATGTCCAAATCTGGGTTTTAAGTTAATTGATAAAACTAGTCTAGCACATAAATACTTGTACGTGCATTATTATAATGCTTACCTTAGCATTTATAGTGTTCCTTCAAGGAAAATATCTAAGTACGGTGGAGGAAAACGTCATGAAGAAACCTGCACATCTGCGATAACCAGGTTTGTATCCACCTGTCAGGGAATGAGTGTATTTAGGTCGCAGAGTCAGGTTGATCTGTATTGGGCCAACACTCCAACTCTTCGACATTTAACATTATGATTTATGATAATACTAGAGTACTTGCAGTGTTAGCGTATCTTTCCACTTTTTGCCGATATTTTTTTTTGTAATTTTATAATTTATACCAAAAAGAAGTATTTGTGGCTGTAAGTGAATTTTAAAATGTGTAACCTAAATAGCGTTATGTAAATTTATAAAAGAAACACGTCATTTTCGGTCTATTTTAATTTAGTTGATTATTTTTATATTAAAGTTATCGTGTCACAAAACAATTTTGGACGTTATTACCTTAGTGATGTAAAAACAATGCCAAAAAATTTGTGTTATAATTACTCATTACCAAATATGTCGTTATTTGATGTAAAATGTTGATTTAAATATAGAAATAAAAAGTTGTAAACCTAAATATGTCGTTTCATTAGATAAATATTTTACACAAAATAGGACTATCACCATTTGTGTCCATATTTAATGTTATTTTCATAAACTTAAATTGACCTATGTCGAAGTGCATTAACATTACGTTGAATTTCCCTTAAACTACAGACACAGTTTAACACACACTATATTATTAATATTATTTAATAAAATACGATTCAATGTAGCTATCTAGCAATGTGATATGATAAATAGGTATTGAAATATGAGACTGCAAAAATGACAAAAAGTTTAAAACGTTCTCCTGAAAAAACGTAGTTTTTGATATGTGACATTATTTTAGAGAACCAGCGATATATTACAAACATTATATAAATAAATAAATGCAGATAGTTAGTACATACCAATGACAAAGCGAGTCGAGGGAAATTAATTACTCTGTTGTTTAATCCTCGTTAGAACTACAATAATAACTTCAGACTATCCCACCGGCCGGGCAAATGAACAAAGCAGATTTACAAAATTCTAAAACATCCACCCAACTGTCTTCTGGTTTGTTTGACATTGACAGCCACAGAACACACACAATGAAGAAGTATTTGATAAAAATAAGTTCCCGAAATCAAACTAGATGTCCCTACGATACGTTCTTAATTTCTCCATGACAACCTTTCCGATTTTCTTCCATATTTAAAAGTAAATTAGTTTACAAAACTCAATTAACAACTCATAATTCTATTTGTACTTTTTCGTATTTGTATTGATTTCTAAGTTTCGAACTTTTAAATTTCAGTATTTTTAAATGTTAGTTAAAAGGAACGGAAATAACTGTCTTTGGTACATTCGTTTCCTGCAAAAATCAACTTTTGCTAGAGTCGCCATGGATATTTTTCGGGTATTTCTGCCTGCAGCCAAACCTTTGACAGCCTTTTTTAAATTGCACCTTCAGCTCTTCATAGGTGCTGAGTTCGAGAAGTTCCTCTTGTAATACCACATCCGCCACTTCCGTTTCATAAAATGGATTTATGATCCATGGTGGTATTTCCATCATCAGAATATCTTCAATCTGTTTTGGAAGTCCTCATGCAGCGCATTTAACCCTTAACCACCTACCAGCGGTCTCAGAGACCGCAACGATTTTAGAAATTCAAAAATTATCACGTGCGATTGGCATGCGTTACAGCGCGTTTATGTACCTTTTCTACACACCAATCAGTATTACGCTAGCGCCCGGCGAGTGCGTATTTGCGCGCGTTTGGCCAGGGTAAGTAATGATATTTCTCTCGCGGTCTCCGTGACCGCAGATAAGTGGTTGTGTAACTGTTTGTCTTTATTTATTTTTTACTTTTTTGTCTCAAAATGAACAAAAATGATTAAAATATCGAAAGATGACTCCAGCAAGAGATCTCGGATGAAGAAGATACTTCTGGCGAGGATTGCAGCGACGTCGAACCTGATATTACCGACGATCTAGTGCAGATTGAAGAGTGTGAATCGGAGTCTGAAATTGAGGGTGATTACGATCTAAATGGCTTGCCGGAACCAACAGCCTCTTCAAAGTTCCAATCTCCATCCATGAGGATGATAATATTCCGCTTCCGCGCTTACAGTCTTTACCTCTAGACTCTAGCCAAGAAAGAAAAAATATTTTGGCAGTAATCGTTTTCGCTGGTCATCTTTGCCGCGTGTCACTCGTTCAAAGACACCCCAGTTTAATATTATACAGTAACCAAGCTCAGAATATTCAAAGTCGATGTAAATTTTTGAAAAAGTTGGCTGAACAGCTTACCAAACCGCATATGGTAGCGAAAACAATGACCGCGTTTCGAAGGACATCAAGATCAGTATTCGACGTGTTTTGCAGATAAAAGGAACTTTACCAAGCACTTCTAATGCCAAAAAACTTGAAGTTCGTAAAACATGTTTCACGTGTGATCCAAAAAATAAACGCAAAACAGTATACCTAGGTTTCGTATGTAAAGTATCGATTTGTTTGGAGTGCTCGAAAAAAATGTGTTGTTAATGCCGCGCAAAATTGTGAAAGTTGGAGCATTGTAATTTTGTTTAGTTTTTTAATTTTTGTTTAATTTTATTATTTGATTTTATTTTAAGTTTATTCAAATTATTAGAAACAAGGAAAAGAAGTGAAAAAATTAAGTTCCTTATAATACAGATGTCATTTTGTTACCTCCGTTGTTTTTGATGCTATAATTGTTATTTCATAAGTATTCATTAATTTTTGAAGATTTTTCTTTAGCTGTTGCTAATTTGTGGTGCAAAAATAAAGCAATTGAGTACACACATGCATTTTATTCAACCCAACTGTAATTTGTTATTACAGGTTTCAAAATGAACGCAATTATCTAGCAGAAGTCTCCGTGACCGCACGTAGGTGGTTCAAGGACAAAAATGGGTGCTAGGTGGTTAAGGGTTAAATGTTGAACGTATGTCTGAATATCTTCATCAAGACATGCTGCCTACGTGACAAATTTGAAAACTGTGAATTCGCGCCGACTAATATTTTGCTTCATAAATTTGAATTTTCCAAGAAAAGCCGAAATTACACTTTTTTTTTAAAGGTCAAGTTTTCTTTTAATTCTGTATCTTTACTTTCCAAAAAACTCTAAAACTCATTCAAAGGTAAGTAAAACCTTGTTAAACACGCACTTTCGACAACCAGCGTACTTCAGTATGTAAATGAATCGTCGGAAGTCTTCATCATTTTCGTCGCACAATTGGGTAAATAAACGAGTTTTCAACGCACTGCTTTTTATTTTATTAACAGCTTTAATCACAAGTTGAAGCAATTGATGCAATCTATCACTAAAATTTTTCGCTACCAGGTGTTGTCGGTGGATGACGCACAGTGTATTGCGGTTACTCCTGGTATTATTCTTTTAAGATGGCTTATAAACCCACGATAACGGCCGACCATAGCAGGAGCTCCATCTGTTGCTACCGAAATTATGTTCGTAAATGGAATCGATTTTTCCTGAAAAAATCACCCAGTAGCTTAAATATTGATTCGCCTTTAGTGTCCGTCTCTAAAGTTTTCGCGAATAGAAGCTCTTCATGGATTTCTTTGTCCATAATAGGTACATCGAAAATATGCCAATAATAATGCTTCATTACCAAGTAAGTTGACTCGTCCAGTTGAATAGAAAAATGAAAAATGTAACAAAAATGTTGTTTGTAGATAATTACACAAGATACTTTCAATATCAGAGCTCATTTCATCAATACATCTTTATACAGTGTTGTTTCTTGAAGGAATTCTTTTAAATACCTCACGTGAAGGCATGTGCATAACAGTTTTTAAAACCTCTTCAATAGCGGGTAAAATTAACTGTTCTCCGATGGTGTGCGATTTCCCAGATTTCGCAATAACCAATGAGATATTGTAAGATGCCCGCAAGCCATCATCGTTACTTTGAGACGTTGAAGCGAACATACTGTGCACGGTGAGTCTCTTTTCATATTTTTCCTTCAATGTTTGAAAATATTTTAAATCTTTACCTATTTTATCAGGATGACACCTTAAGATGTGAACTCATTTTGCCCCTTAGCTTTTCCCGTTTAGCCTCGATCTTGCGGCAGTTGGTATATTAACTTGTGCCATTCAGTTTCATGTTAAGGCGTTTATTTTCTTAAGTATTTGGTCTTGTCCCGTCTCCGTTATTTTTATTAAATGGAAAATTCAAAACCATGGTATTGGGTTTTTAAAAGAAGTCGAATGTATTGAAAACATTCAGCTCTAATTGTTCAAGATCTAGCTCATCAAACTAATTGCAGTAAATAAGTATTTCTGATTTAAAATCAAGATTTAACACACTATGCAAGTCTTTTCTAAAGTCTAAAAAACGAAAAGTATAACAGCATATAACGAGAGAAAAAAAAATGAAAATAATAAATAAAAAGACTAAACAAGCTAATAAAAGCAAAAAACAAACATTCCGTAATTTCTGTTTGGTTTACCAAACAACCTAAATGAACGAAATGATTAAATAAATACTTATGTGCTCATTATAGCACAAAAGTATTTATTTAGTACCTTGTATATGTAGTCATTATAAAAGTATGTCAATATTACTCGAGCAATCAGGCAATCTACCATCTACAAAATAACTGATGTTATAGTAATCTAAGTGCTCAGTATATTGAGTGGCGAGCACAGAGCAAATTTTTATAGGCAATTGCAGAGTGCAGATTTAGCCAATAAATTTAAATACAAAGGTAAAATTAAAATAAAACCCTTTTCCATTTGTATGTATTTAGATATTATCGATAATCATTGATGTAAGTCAATAATATTAAACTAAGGAGGAAACAGAGGTGCGAATTATATTTTTTTTTTCACTGTAATACATGTGTCAAAATCGAATAATTGCACAATTCACGTGCCTTCCGAAACACGGATTCTTATCTCCTATTTCTATTTCGTAAACATATCCTAAAATTACTAAATAAGACAACATAGAAATGCTAAGTAGGCCTTAACTTAAAATAAGTACTAACATGTGTGGTATTAGTATCTATTACAGTTGTTCATTGTAATCAACTTCAAAAAATAAGACTTAATAGGTTTTCAAATTGACTGTTTTCTTGTTTAAATGCATACACTTTTTATAGTACATACATATATTCTAGAAATAATCGTATTCTAGAGTATATTGAATTTATAACAATAAGATTTATTATTCGATTCTTCTGAAGTCGATTTTTCTCGAAGTTTACATTATTTTTAAATTGATATAAAAACGAATTATTGCTTTTAAAGAAAAGTAGAAGCATGTTTATTGTTTATAACTGTAAGTAAATAAATATCCCCACACGAACTTCTACTTATCTTTTCATTCCTTTCATAGGATTCGTTTGAGATCTATTACAGTATATATCCTGTTTAGTGTCTCGTACTTTTTCATACCAAATTTTATCTAACTAAATGATTTCAGACCGAGTTACTTTCGCATTTATATAATATACAGTACGAATAATTAAATAAGAAAAGCACCATTTCTCTGTAACTCTGTAAAAGTACCATATCACAATTCGTGGTAATTGGTAAACCAACCTCAGAAGCTTAATGCCAAAGTGAAGGTTTATTCATGGGATTTATTAATTTCTGGAAGTCAGTATAAAATGATCTATTAAACCCTATGCCGTTATTTTTTACAATTTCTCACTACAAAGCATGTTAATGTACCTTTTTTAAACTTTGTGGAAGAAGAGTAATATACAAAAAAATATGAAAAGTTTAGTGCCGGAACAAAGTAAAAAATTTCCCTAAAGAATATTTTTTTCAGTATATCATTGTTAGTTTCTGTAGGTACTATAGAGCGATCCACCCAATTGCTCTATAGTATCGAAAAAGTAACAAGTACTTGAAAAATTCGTCAGTCCTCTTAGGTCTTGGGTAGCTCAGTGGTTAGAGCAGTCGCACGGATTGCGAAAGGTCATGGGTTCGAGTCCAATCTTAAACATTTTTCATTATATATATTTTTTCAGTATAGCATTGTGAATGCAAAATTGATTAAATATAATAATGTTTTTTTGCTCGTTTCCGGTAAGGTACCCTCCATGCGCAAGTGCGACTCTCATTAAGAGAATAACCAGCACACAGCACAGTTTTATTTGTATCACTTTATTGGGCGACAATATACTGCTATGGGATCATCCATAAATTACGTCACACGATTTTCATGACTTTTTTGCCCCTCCCCCCATCCTAGTCACAGCTGGTCACATTTGTAAGACTCCCCCCCTCCTAGCGTGATGTCACATATTTTGCAAGGTTTTTGTAAAGTATTAGTTTAAAGTTCGTGTTTTAACACTTAGATTATAATAGATTTTGAAGTGTGGCGTCACGAAATTTAGGGCCTTCCCACCCCCTTGTCACACAATGTCACTTTGTCCACCTTCTCCCTCCCCCTTAACGTGTGACGTAATTTATGGATGGCCCCTATGTAATCTTCTGAATTTTTGAAATAGTGTTGATTAACATTTTTGCTTACCGCGATTCGATCGACAACAATAGTTTTATTTGTCATTAGATTAATTTTGCTTGCAGTTAGGTTTTAAAGAAGTCATCGTGTCGAATGAAATGTCCATACATTCTCCCTAATCTGTTTTCTATGGTTTCCAGTAAGCCTTCTGCGTGGCAGAATTGACTTCGATTTGTTTCAAATTGTAGTAAATTTTGATTTATTTTAAATTGCGTTGGGTTCAATTTATGATGTTATTTATTAACTGGATAAATTCTATTACAATTATTACATCTTTGATAAAAAGAGTATGATTGGGTGAAATATAATTGATATGCGTACAAGTGTATATTATACCACTGAATTTGGGTCTTTACATAAAATTAATAAAATATACAAATATTATCAATATAAAAAATATTGTACTTATGCCACATATTGCGGCGCCCCTTGCAAACAAGCAATTATATGATTGCGGCGCCCCCTACTGCTTCAGCGGTCGTCGATCATCTTATATTGGAAATAAGGTCACGCAACTACCGCTGGCTTATCAGCGTAGCTTACATACCGCCTATGGTAACTTCGAACTGTTAGTTTATTTCACAGTTAATTCAGATGGACAAATGTATAATAGTAGAAGAT